GACAACAGGCCACCCGCTGCGATTTCCGGAGACGATGAACTATGCACTCAACAGCCTTGATGCGTCAAATGCCTGCGGCAGAGTCTGGCATTGTTCGTAGGGCTCTTATTACCTAGGACAGCTTAGTTGTGGCTTTCCTAACTTTCAACGTTTGTTTCCATGGCTCAGGGGACTGCTTCTACGTTTCCAGCCAATCTGTGTGGGCAGCCTTTGTTCATTGCCTTGGTAAACGCCACCATCGTTTCCCAGACGCCTAAACATCAAGGTTGTCAATAAGCATGCGGCTCAGAGGGATTTGCGGTGCGTCAAAATGCATCTCAGGCAAGCAGTCCGATTCACCTCCTGGCATACCATCAGACGGACTCTCCTTGCGAAGCTTACCGGTATAAGGCCTCTTCCGCTGCCGAGAAAGCCTTAATACCAAACGAATTCCCAGCGCGGCTGATGGTCCATTTGACTGCGGTTCACTTTGATCGGACGACATGGTCTGAATAGTCGTACGTCAAGGCTAACAATGACTGAAGGATGCAGATGATATCTGCACCGTCAGCAACTAGTGAGGGGCAAAACTGCTCTTGAACTTACTCCCAGCAGACCGATTCCCTATTTTGGCAACTGTTTCGCCGCTTCTGCGGCCTCCAACAGGGTCCCTTTCAGCCCCCGTCTGCACCCATACGCTTAGATACGGATGCCAACGATGGTTGTCATTTCGGAATAATTCCAACAATGCCGGTGAAGACATGCTGTTGAACAATCAAAACGCCACAGACGCAGTGTTTTTTCAGCTCACTCCAATCAAGAAGCGGAAACCGGCTTCAATGACGGGTTGCTGTCAACTTCAGGGGCTGAAATAGCCTGCTGCAAGAGGTCCTGTCGGCCAAAGATCGACTGGCGGAGATCAATCGGCGACACCTGCAGAGTCCCCAACCGGCGTCTTGCAAGCACGTGTGTCCCCAGCTCACGATTGGCTCGATTGGCTCGCCTGGCGTCGAACAAGTCGTTTCTGATGCTGCGGCTGCGAGGGGGTTTAAGTGGTTGCAGCAACATGCCATTTGGTGGCCCACGAGCGGCTCCCATTGTCTCTGTGCAACTGAAAAGTACCAAAAACTCTTTACATACATAGTACTCTACCGCGTACGCCCGAATTGACTTCTCACCACTTTCGCAAATTCCATGTCCGCCCGAGACGCCGCAGGATCACCCAAGACCTCGGTGGCAATGCTGAGTTTCCACCCAGGACCAGGGCGTGAGGCCAGTCCCAACTCTGTTCCAAGTCGTTTGCGTCTGTGAACAGCAACACCCCTTTTTCGCGTGTCTGGCATATCCCGTCCTTCCCAATTCCCTGGCGCTTGCCAGAATCCGGATACGACCTCAACTCGCGCAACATGTGGACATGGTGGGGATGGAGAAGGATGAGGGCCATCAGAACCACAAACTTGGAACCGAGGCCGTCCCCGGTCCATGCAGTACTCCGCCGTAGGGCAAGAATAAGCACGATCGTCTGCGTATCATGGCGGCCTACCGCAAAGGGAGAGACGGCCTCTGCGGTGGCCGGCCCCGGGTACATATTGGCGGGGTCACCCAGTCGAGACGCATGAATTTGGGAGATTGCACACGCCCCGATGCCTTTTGTTCTACTCGTGGCACACGCCGCTAAGAGGGGGGAAAAAAGTGCTCTCTGGTCTTGCCCAAAAGATCTTCTTCCGGGATACCCGTCGAATCGAAACAACCGTAAAAGAAAGCGACAGGCGCGTGGTAAAGGTTTGAATGTTGTTCTTGGGTGAACCCGGGATGGCATGGACGGCCTCCTCCGGCGAGAGGGGTAGCCGGCCTGGGTCTCCGACGCCGAGCTTTCGCCCGGCCGCCCGCCCGCATCCCCAGCCAGGTACCGTGCCGCCGTCGAAACGCTGTTGCAGCCCAACATATGGCATTCTTGACTTGGCCACTCTTGTCACGCTGCTGGACGGCCTACCCCGATCGTCCAAACTCGTCCAAACTCGTCCAGAGAGTCAGTCGCATTAACCGCCGTCAACCCAACTTTCGCAGACAAGCTGCCGCCGTTGTGTTTCCGTAGGCGCATATCGAGGTCCATGTCGATCATGTCGGAAGCCCTTACAGGACCCTAGACGCGCAGCACCTCTCCCATGAATTCAAAAGCCCAAAACATCCAAGCCCCCAGCTGGACCACCTTTGAAAGAGGAGAAGAAGAAACCACCTCAGAAAGGCACCCACATGGTGCTGAGGTACCACTGCCGTGCTTCATGCCTTATCCTTCGGCGACGGGTAACCGAAGCGAACAAGACCTGTATCTGACTATCCTCCGCGCAACTCCTACTTGCCGAACCCCGTCCTCGTCCGTCGTCTACGAAGTATTAACCTCCCATCCTCACCGGGCAGGCCGGGTTCCTGGTCTGGCTCCATTAGTTTCGTTTGGTTCCTGGTCCGATGTCCTCGTTTACCCCTGGCTCTATCTATTTCCCGGCGATGACAGGCCTGCCGCCCACCCACTTGCCTACCTGCCGCGTCCTTTTCTGCCCGCATGAGAGGCGTGTCCGTCTACGCCCCCCTTTTGGATCCTTGAGAGGACGCTCAACATCGTGGCTTCAACCCCCGTCGGCAGATGCCCGTTCCTGAACCATACCCTTTTCGGGGACAGAACATCCTAAAGAGAAGGGGTCCCCGACTCCCATGCCGTGCCCACATTCTCGGCCAACCAACATCTCCACCGATCTTCACATCGGCCATATCGGGGTGGAGGGGGAGGAAGGGCCCTCCGCCTTGCCCAGCTCCTCGTCATCACAACCCGGCCCTTTTCCCTCCCCCTCTCGCCCCGGTCTCCCATCCTTGTCCCCGGATCCCGCGAGAACTGCCATTGCCCACTCCGAACACTTTGCGCATGCCACCACGACGGACGCCACGAGCCAGTCAAAGCCCAACATCACGTCCGCTCTCGAACCCTAGCTAACCCATCAATATGAGCATCCTACGAACCCCTGAACGAGCCACGCCGTTCTCAGCCAGCCCGCACTCGCAAAGAGGGGTGGTGGTCCCCCCTTTTTCCTTCCATGTGCTTCTCCCACGCCTTCGACCACAACCCGGGCGCCCACACATCATCGCGATTCACGTCCAGGATCGTTGGGGGGGTTGTTTAGCACGCGCGGACTAAGAGCCGGGGGGGGGGGTTGCTGCGTTCAGTCCAGTCGAGCGAAGAGAGGGAAAGGGGAGTCATAGCTCGTGATGGGACCGCGGACTGCGTGCCGCCCGCCTGCGACTGCTCCTCCCGTGTGTGATCCTCTTCCTCCTGTGTTCTCTGGCCGCCCCGTCCACGGAATGTGGCACGGCCTCGTCAGCGTGTGTGCGGGAGGCCTACGTCAAGCGGCTCCTATATCGAACCTCTCGCTATGACAGTGCACGTTCGGCAGCAGCAGCAGAGTATCCTTTTCGAAAACGGTCATGACATTTTGGGAGTATGGTCTAAGAACTGTCCAAAAGCGTAGATTATCACAAACGTCCACCACCAAGCGGGAAGTCTGTCTGAAATGACCGTGTGTTCCTCATTCTGCGGTTAAAAGTCCAAAGGAAAATCTAACTACGTACTACTGCCCGCGGGTTCTTGCCAAACGCGAAAACACAGTTTTTCCCCACCATCGTCATCGTCATTCGTCCCAGAGGACTTGTTTGATTGACTTGACTTGGGGGTGTCCCTCCAAAAGCCCCATTTGGCCCAACAATCCCACCTACCCGCCCGGCCTACCGTCCCAAATTCGCCAGCGTGATATTTCCAGCCCAAAGAACTTTTGATTTCCCTGATTCTCTCTCTTGGAAGAGAGAAAACCGAAAAAAAAGAAAAGTGTGCCCTTCCCGAATTCCACCTTTTCCTCCCCTTGATATCATATGGTATGTCCTCCTCAAACAAAAATAGGTGACAAAAAGAAGAAAAAAAATAGATCAGATACAAGAATCCAAAAAAGAAAAGAAACCCGGCAGAGATTTAGCTATCTACGATTAGGGTGTGGAAGAGGAAAGTTGGGGGGGAAGCAAAGAATCGAAAAGGTCAAAGGGGGATGGAAAGGACTGAACTGAACTGAAGCATAAGTAACCGAAAAGCAGGAAAAAAGTCACACCAAGCACTGGACAAAAACTGGGGACCCCGCGTTTCCTCTTCCGACGGTTTGGTTTGGTTCGAAAAATGAAGCGTTGACAAAAACTGGGTTGAGACTCTGGCCATTATTTTTCTTCCTGCACTGCGTCGCGGCGTGGGTGTGTGGTGGTGTTTGATGTGGCGAGTAATGTAGAAACGGTGTGATTTGGTGGTTGGTATTCCTCCTCTTATCGGGGCATAAAGTCGCATGAAATTCAGGAACAAACGTGGTCGGAGGAAAAAGGGAAGGGGGAAAAAGAGGTATTTCCAAGGTTGGTTGTTTCGATGGGAAGAGGTAAGTAGATTTTTCTTTCTGTGTTGAGTGTGTGATGGATGATGATGGTAGAATCGTCATGACATTCTCTTTCTCTTTCTTCTTGGGCCGATCGCGGCATGAAACTTCCCTGGTCCTCCTCTTGTTCCTCCACATACAAACAAAGGGGTCACACACACACACACACACAGAGAACCCCCAACATTTCCCGTGTTCCTCCCGAAAGGTATTTTTTCCCATGCCCAGTAGTCTATAAGATTTGAGAGTTTCGTTGAAGAAAAGCGTTTCGATTTCGTGAGGGTTAGGAAAGAAAGAGGATAGAGAGATAGAAACCGCTGAGCAAAAGAAAAAGGGGTTGAGACGTTACTTTTTGTCGTGACGACGTTGTTTCGTGGGGAGATAGGAAAAAAGGGTTTCTGCTACCACAGTGCGCGCGCTCTGCGGCGAGAGAGGGGGTAAAAGTCGAGACAACAAAGGAAAATTCTGAAACAGGAATAAGGTGGTATCAGTCGTGTATTTTTTGGAGGTTCGCGAAACACACACAAAATCATCTCAAGATCAGGAAGCAACAGACACCAGAGCAGACTAGATCATGCCTGGCATGCCTTCGAGCGGGTTGATGATGCCCCGTTGTTGGGCTTGCATCTGGCCTTGGCTCATCTGAGGCATCGGCGGCACCTGTTGAAGGTGTTGGTGCTGGTGTTGCTGTTGCTGCTGCTGCATCTGCGCGGGCGTCGGCGTGCTCGTGACTGAGGCGGCTGACTGCGGCGTGATGGGCGTCTGCTGAGGCATCGGAGGAGCCTGTCCAGGTTCAACCTTTGGCTTGGCCATTTGCGACGCTGCCAGGTTGCGGTTGTGGCTGCTCTCACGACGACGCTTGGGGGCGTCCTTGATCTTGGGATGAGTGTGGCACTAGATACGAATCAGTTAACAGGTCTTGAGGGGAAAGGATGCGAACGAAAATACCTTGTATGCGTGTCTGAACCATGTAGTACCCTTCTTCTTGCTGCTCACCAACGCAATCCAGTCGTTGCAGCTGCCGCAGAGTCCCTCCCACACGTCGGGGTTGCCGTCCATCCGCCTGGTTTCTTGCGGCTCCTGGAACGGGTTGCCCGTGGCTGCGGAGATGCCGTGGGTGAATGACTTATCGTACCAGAAGGCAGAGTTCTTGAGCACCAGCCAGCGGCCGGGCTTGCAGATGCCGCACCATCCCTCACGCTTGTTGCCGTGGCCACGAACCCATCTGGGCGTGTACAGGTCGCCCTCGAATCTCAGCTCCTGCTCATGGGGGACGAGATCAGGGTCGGACGGGTTCATGTCCTCCGGGGGCGGCGGGACCTGCTCCTCGTGAAGGGAGGCGTACAAGTCGGGCGGGTCAGACAGGTCGGTGTAGTGGCTATGAAGGGAGTGCGGATCGGCGTTGCTCTGGAGCATGCGGAAGAGCCCGTGAGACAGCAGCGGCGGCGGCGCCTCGAAGTGATGAGCGTCCGGGTGCGGGAATCCGTTTGATGGCAATTGAGACGGGAGAAGCATGCTGTTCATGCTGTTTCTCTGAAACTGCGGCGGACCGGCCATCATGAACGGGTGCTGTTGGGCTGCTTGCAGGTTGGTGAAGTTCAGAGGGACCTGGTTGTGCTGGATCGTCGGCGACGAGTGTCTGGAGGACATGCGCTGATGGGCACCGAAGGCGTCGTGGCCGGGGTGGAAGACGAACGGGGTTTGGCGACGGTTCTGCTGGGTTCCGTATGATCCAGTCGACCATCTCTTGGTAGTTCCTCGCTCAACGCTGTACGGGGCAGATCGCATGCCCGGTCGGGGTGACGGGGAGGCTCGGCCGCGGCTCTGGGTCCTGACAAGTTCAGATCGGCTTTGAGGCGTCATTCGTGGGGACGCCACGGGCGACAATTGAGTCGACGACATCAATGAGTTGCGGTTAGACGGCGGCGGATAGTCTGAGCTGAATGATGGCGCCTCCGATAGAGCGGCGGAGAAGTCCTCGTACGACGGCATGTCTGAGAGGGCGCCTGATGTCGACATGGTGAACGAAGATCCTGACATGCGTCTCGGGTTGGGACCGCAGTCGAAGTTGAACTCGCTGTCTGTCTGCTGTCCGTATCTCAAGTCGAGGACGGGAATGGCCTCGTCGGTTGTGTAAGCCTGTCCAATCATCTCCGTGTCCAACCCATGGAACTCAAAGTTGTCTTCACATGGCTTCTGTTGCCAGGCTGCATCATCATTAGCACGAGAGGGGTCAACCTCTGATGGACCGACTCACTGTTCTCCATTGTGGTGACGGGATAGAAGTCTTGTTGATGGACCGAGACGGGACGGGACATGGCGTCGTTGGGGGTCTGCTGCATGGGAAGAGGCGATGAATCCCACGATGGGAGTGTGCCGTAGTCGTCGCTCATACTGTAAGAGAAGCCCTCGTGGATGGTCGCAGGCCTGGGCCGCATGCCTTGAGACGTCGGGGTCGTCCATACTCCAGCGGGTGCTCCCACGCCCTCTTGTTTGACGGGCATATCATTACCGTTCATGTTGATGATGGGCGTTGTGCGTGGCGGGACGTCTCTTCTGAACTTGTTGTTGGGGTTGAAGGTGAAGGAAGGTGTGTGTATTTGTTGCCGACTAAATTGTACTTGTAAGTCATGTATGTCGGAGGCATGCAGGGACGGGATGGGGCCTACAGCTGTGCCTGACCAGAGTCCATGGTGCTTAGACAGGAACAAGACAAGGGAGCGTGCGGTTAATCAATTATCGGGTTGATGCTGAACGGGGGACGGTGGGTTGTTAGCATTGATCCTCGGACGAGGGACTACCAAGGGTGGCAGTTGTATCTGACGGCAGTCGGGGGGTCCACACTGCCCACGTATCGACGAGCGCGATCCGACAGGCCGAAAGAGGGCTTCCATGGAACTTACTTGGAAGAAATCTGGCGCAGTGGCCAACCTGGGCGGAGAGACACAAAATAATCTCCGGACCGGGCGAGTAATGGAATGGCCACTGAGTGGTTGTTTGTTGGGATCCGTTCAGAACGCGCAGATTTTCTTCGTCTCCTTCCCTTCTAGGCTCCTTTCTCTTTCTGTTCCGTCCCCTTGGTTTCCTTTCCGGACTCTTCCTCGCACGCGGGTGGACGGCGATGAGCGTTAGGGACAGCGGGTCCTCGCGATGAGGCTAGTGGTTGTTGTTGACGGTAGGGATTCCCGTCCTCAACTAGACTTGTCTGTGGGTGTATGTATGTGTGATGAGTGAGTAAGTGCTGGTTGGTGTGTGATCGGTATTTGGGTATATATGTATGTATGCGAGTAATTCCTCAAAGGCGAGTGAGCAGTGTAAGGAGCGTCGTGAGTTTGCGGCGTTCACCAGCAACTCGTTTGAATGCTTTAATGTGCGTTGAGGATGAGGATGAGAGCGCGTTAGCTGGCTAGCCGTCCAGGTTCCTGGCAGGATGAAGAGAGCCAGCTCCCGGAGAGTAGGTATTATAGATGCGAAGAGGTAGTAGCCCCCCTCGAAAAGGAAAAAAAAATATTATAGGTAACAAGGCTCGAAAAAGGAGTGACTAGCAATGGGAATCATGGGCAGTGAGGCCTTGGTAAGTGGGACGCAAAAGGAGAGCAAAAAGAACGCAAGACGAGGGGCGGTGCAGAGGATCCTGGAGGTATAAAAGAAGTAGTGTGGAAAAAGAAGCATCATCCATGGACAGACCAATAAGTCTGCACGGTCAGGTTCGGAACGTCGGTTGGAGCTAAGCCGGATTCCCTGATACAAACCTCTTCCTGTCTGTGAACTTGGGGGCAGAGGCAGGCGTGCGAGAAAGAGCTTGGCCGGGCTCACCAAGAGGACAGGACTGGCAGGGGGTAGACTTTTGGTGGTGGACAAGGTAACATCTGTTCGTCGATGTGGATGTGTGGGAGTGAGATGCCGATGAACCAGGGACAGGCCTACCGCCAGCTGTTTTTGGAAGACGGGGGACAAGGATCTAAGGCGCCGACAAGGCTATACCCAGCTCATGGATGTGTGTGTTCATAAACTAAGGCCAGGTGGATTGAGAGGTAGGGCAGTACATGGCACGAACTCGGGGCCGTCAATTGGCGTGATGGGTAATTGTCACTTGAGCGAGAGAAAGCGAGAGAGAGTCCGGATAGACCAGAGAGTATCATGGTAAGAGGGACTAAGAGGAGGAAGGGCTGATGGTGGTGTGGGGAGTCCGAGGGACTGAGAGCCCATAGAAGGAGGGGGTAGGGGAGTGAAGGACTGAGAGACTTGAGAGCAACGACAACCCATGAAAAGATTAACCGCTCAACCAGTCAGAGACAAGAAAAGGATGGGATGGAGGGAAAAGGGCAGAAGGTAAAAAGAGGAAGTACCTTTCCGAACGGAGTGCAACTTGCACCTGAGAAAGTCACTTGGTTCTGGAGCTCATCCATCCACACTTCTTTTCCATACGGATACACCTGGCATACCTTGTCAGAAACACCCTCCCCCTTCTAGACCTTTTAGCCCCCCTCCCCGTCCCCGTTCACTCGCCATATTTTTTCTGAGCAGTCTACTATGGCAGCGGCGGTGCAGGTGTGGGTTTGTAGCAAAGAAATTCGAAGTGACGAAATACAGGACCATACTTCGACGGACGAGCCACACCCACTCTATCGCCCTGTATCGTCGATAGCCGCACTTGACGTATGATGAGTGCTGTGCTATGTAAGGGCCCTTTCGGTGGTCTCCGACCAGGGCCATCAGGGCTGAGATTTGGCGAGGACCCTAGCGATCCGAAGGAAATAGTTCCCGAGGAGGTGGCTTGTCTCATCCCATACGCCCACATGTGGCGACATGGCTCCAGAGCGGAAGGTCAGCGAAGGGTGACTTGGGGCCCATCGGGGAGGCAGAAGTGAGGCATCGGGGACGGGTCATGGTTAGTCACCTGCGGCCGACGGCCGGCAACTGCGACTGTGGTTAGAAAGCGAGAGAGCTGGGAAATGGGTATCGAAGTGGGCGCCGGAGCCGAAACCAAGGCGACTGGCCTGGCGTGTCGTGATGGGGGGGTGTTTTGTTGTTGTTGCTGGTCTGGTCGTGTGCTATTGTTTCCCCCTTCCCTCTCGTCTCTTCGTGCGGACAGGTTTTGCGTTCCAACTCTTTCGCGGCGGAAACCAAGCAAGAGCCAGGGTTCACGGACGAACCTCAGTCAAGTATCGAAATGATACGATACGACTTGTCTGGAGTGTCAGTAGGCCGAGTACGGCACGTCTGCAAGGTAAATCCGCCGCAGGCCCAGTACCCGTCCCAGGCCAATGGGGCATGGGGGCCATGGGGAGGGGCCTCGGGCAATGTCTGTGTAGCAGCTGGTGTGGATGCAGGTGCTGCGTCAAGGTACATGGCACCGTCCCTGGGGAGGTAGAGACGTCGAGATTTTTTGAGTCGAGTGTTAAGGTACGGCGTCCCCACCAGTCCCCAGGGCCAATCAGGCTTCGGGTACGAAGATCACGAACGAGAGTGTTTGGCAAGAGAATCCTGACGTCGGGCTCTTGTTTTGGCAGCGACAGCGGAGCAGGGATGTCTCCTGTGCCTGTTTTGTCAGATCCCTGGTTCCCCACATGATGAACCTGGAATCCTATCCTTTCCAGCAGATCCGCCCTCGGGCTTCTTTTTCCTGTTCGGCCGTTGTGCCAACAACGAGTACCGGAAGAACAGGCATAAAGCAGCACAGATGTGCGTCCATGTAGCTAGGCGGCTTAGGTTGGTGTCGATGCACCGTACGTCAGTAATCAGATAACAGATGCGGATTGGCAGCGACAGCTGATGGGGAGCTGAAGTCTGTTTGCTTGTTGCTTGAACTTGACAGGTGATTAGCTCGAGGTCAGGTAGCTTGGCGTAGCTTAATGTGAGGTAGGCTAGGTGGCCGCAGTATGCAGGAAGAAGCAAGTGCAGGACAGGAGCGTGCACAGCTGGAGATCGGAGAAATTGTGTGAGTGTGAACGAAGGTGAGCGAGGAAGGGTCTGCTGTGGATGAATGTGAGTGGACGGCAGTCTGTTCGTCTCTCCAGGCCCATCAACTCTGGGTCGTCTGGCATCGTTCCGGAGCTGCAGGGGAATCATGGGCGGAGTGTTGCCGAGAGGAGGGAGAGGCTAGCGACAGAGGCTAGAGCCTCGGGACCATGTGGATGAGGGGGTCAGACGAAGTAGTTCCAGGTCCAGCTCCAGCTCCAGTTTCCAGGCCAGTCGATTGGGGACCTGTTGGGAACCTGAAGCGATGCATCGAAGAATTGGAATCTTTTGCCCTGTCTGGCCTGGATAATGAGTGGGTTCGATGCTGACCGGACATGGTGTGAAAAGATGGGTTCCGGTGAGCAATGTCCTGAGGTTAGTTTAGCCAGCCAGCAGCAGAAGCAGCACGAGCCGAGAACGATTGGCAGGATGCCCAAGTGTCCACGAGACAGGCATCGTGTGTCCAGCAAGCCGACACGACGGTGCGCAGAAAACCGTGCGATGGCGGAGAGGAGAGACCAGACCATGCAGGCTTTCCAGATGAGAGGTGGTGACGGGAGACGGAAGCGATGGACGGGAGATGAGAGACGGCGGAGAGATGATGGGAGGGGGGGCGCGACTTCAGGAGCAGCACCTGAACCAGACCCAGAACCAGAACCAGAACCAGAACCAGAACCAGAACCAGAACCAGAACCAACCCCAACCGCTATGGGAGTACTTTGGTCGCTGATGGTGCATCGTATCGTCTGAGCCAGAGGCCGAACGCCAGAGAATAAAGAATGGTCAAATATCATAGTGATGGAGGGTATATGGCGCGCAATGATGGGGCCGGCCGCGGTCGACGTCGTTGGTGGGCGGGAGATGATGCTCGTGGCACGGAGCAGGCACGTTTGAAGTTGACTTTGAGCTGGCTGGCGGCGCATTCTGATTTGTCGCTGAGGTAAGCATCTGCAGGGGGCAGATCAGGGAGTCGCGGGTGTGTGGGTGGGTGGGTGTCGTTGGATGCACCGTCTGTCGTGTCTTGGTGCCATGCCAGACCAAGGTTCCTGCAGATGCTACGCAGTCGACGTTCTTTGCACCGCCCAACGTACCTTACTGCGGGAAGTACCTGGCTGTACCTCGCCAGGTACGCCGTAGTGGTGGCATCGTCGCGCGAGTGGTGTGGGTTGCGTTGTGCGTGCCTTGCAGCGCGTCGTGTTGGCGTCTCCTGTCTGACCTTTCAGGGTGTGCTGCCGCTGTAGTCATACCCCAAGCCGCCTTGTACCTCATGTACCTCCTCCGTCTGACACCTCCCGACAGTGACCAACACGGCCTCAGTCATCGCGACTGCACCTCGTCGCTCGACTTCGGCTTGCCATGCGTCTTGTCTTGTGTGTGCCTTGACTCTGTCATCGACTCTGCCTACACAGCACACCTGCATTGGACAAGTCAATCGATCTCGTGCAGTTCCTCGATGCCACTCCCAAATCGCTGCTCTCATCTCTTGCACAAGTCCCAACTATGTCGATGATCTTGACGTGCCTCATCCGAGACTTGCTCGCCTCGTCTTCGGACCCTTGGCATCTCCTCCTCGTCCATCCTTTCCACCCGGCCTACTGCAAAGTAGTCCAGTCCACTGAGTCTTGTCGACTCCAGTCGACTCGGGCAGGTCCAGGCGTCGCCGCGGTCCTGATTCCACTTCTTCCACAGTGCTGTTCTTCACACGACCATGGCCATGAACCAGTTGTGGCA